GTATAATTGGCCTATCCCCTCCCTACAAAATGAGTCCATTTTTTTGGAGTCATTTTGTAGGGATGGGACGTTGGTCGCTGACATTTTGTAGTGATTTTTACTACCAAATAGGGACCCCGACCCCTCACCCTAAATATCAACGGGGATTGTGTATGTATATATAGCAACTGTTCTTTATCGCAATCGCTGATTGTGATTCCTATGTTGCAAGACACGATTCCCTTTTGAATGCGATCTACAACAGTGGAAGGTACTTTCTTGCAACACCATTTCATCAACGCAGATGGTCAGTGGGCTCCTCAACAATCATCAGAGTAAACTGTAGAGAACTTAGAGAACTCATCCCTTTCAAGATATGAAACTACAAAAGGATGCAATGATTGAAGACTTGTCAGCTCACTTCCGCTCAATGAGAGCGTAACATCCTAACGGGTGACACCAAAAAGATACGATGGAGGTGATATTTGAAGGAACACATGTTTACTTTGATATTTGAAGGAACACACAAGGATCATCGAGGTTTTGAACAAGGATGAATGAAGGTGATGCTGAAAATGCGGGTGTCCTTTTTTGGTGTTTTTGTTGAACAGCAAACCAACAACAAAAGGACACCCTTTAGTGGTACCAGTTGTGCTTGTGATGCTGGTTTTGCGCCTTGCATTTTTAACATGCCTTGGACACATGTTTACTCAACCACATCCTTTTGGCTAAGATGAAGATATTAGATCGATACATATATGAACAAAGATTGACTGCGGAAGTTTGCACATGACTTTCTTTCTTCCTTCCTTCTTTCTTTCTTCCTTTCTTTCTCTCTCTCTCTCTCTCTCTTTCTTTGCTTTAGTCTTTTCTATAGGCCCTCTTGGTTCCTTAGCCTTTTTCTGGGAACGCCGAGGTAGACCGAATGTATGCCTTTCAAAGCTTTAAGATAGAGTTCACCCGACACGTTTGAACAGCGAAGGAGTCATGACAACACATGACAACACACCGATGCTGAACATTGTTTAGGAAGCTACAAACACGCCGCTCATCTCTCTGGAGACTCTGAAGGACAAACAAACTTTGTATTCAACGATCTGAGGAAACGTGCTTAGCTAGCGGGCTTTGACCCTAGATAGCTGAGCAATCGCAAACAAATCTGAGTGTTCACGTGCCTTCCCTTCCCAGCTCCCGACGCAACGGTCGTTTTCGTTGTGGAAAACGGTTGCCGAATCTTCGATCGATTGGCGCGCAATGATGGGTGAATGATGCATCCCCCGAAGAGAGAGAGAGAACAGATCCTGGTCATGTCTATGTTCACTGTGGTGACCCCTCGACAGAAGAACTTTCGGTGAGGTTTAAATAAGTACAATAGCGCTAGCAACGTAAAGCCCAATGCTTTTTGGAGGTCTCACATGTTGACCCAAAAAGCAGCACTGGCGCCGCCCCGCCATGGTTTGGGACTTTGGTTTGAAGAAGACACGAATTTCTTGGACTTAATGGCATCACTTACCCACAAGTCCTAGGTAGCCACAGACTACTGTAATAGTACCAACCAGCTGGGCCATTGGCGGGGACCCGTGTTCCTTTTTTTTAACGTGACGTACGGGTGACCTTCGAGGAGTCCGGGCACCCGCTGGGGTCGGCCAGTCCTTGTGATCAGTCGAAGGGAACTCCGACGTCTTGTTTTGGTCCACATGTTGTTTTTTTCCGAAGTCTTTTTTGACTCGTTGCCTTCTAGTTGTATCATCACCCCCCTTGCTTACTACTACTACTACTACTACTACTACCACCACCACCACCACCACCACCACTACTACTACACAGGGTTCGGATTTTGTTGTTTTGAGCCATTTGGAGCCCCTCTGCGAATGATGGTCTTCTGCACAAGGGCCCTTAAAGGCAATCCAAGGGTTCCACCCTGTCGCTCGGGTCAAATCAAGCAGTTCTTGCATATCTTCTGAGAAGAACAGACGAAATTGATAGACACTGCTTAGTGGAGCACACTCTGAAGGTATGCCCCCCGACCCCTGCAATTTCCACAGGGATCTTCCAACCCACAGCGATCCATCCGTCGCCGTAAACGGCAGGACGGAAAAACGACGCCTAGGCCTCCATGCCCTCACTCGTGGAGACCCTTGCGATCTGCTTGAAGCACCTGGTGAGCGACTGCTTGGAGGCGGAGAGGATGAAGGCCTTGGTGCAGAAGATGATGCCATCAGCACCTCGGTGAAAAAACTATGCGACCATGCCGCCATGCCGTTCGTGAAAAGACTGTGCGACCAACCACCCAAACATGCGGAACATGGTGGACCACGGTGGAATATTGGCCTTACATCATGGCCTTGGAAAGGAAGACTGTTTTAGCCCATGTAACCATGATTGCATGTCGGGAGGTTCTTGTCGAACCGACCTCGGGAGTCGAGGAGTTGTTTGTCTAACTGGACAAACACGAAGTGGTGGTGTCAGTGTTTCCAGGCCATGGGTCATGGGTGTATATTATATACAACACAAACATAGCAATCCAATTAATCATCTATCATGTAGATGTCTGGTGAATGCCATTAGCCAGATCTGCTGTTGATTGATCCAGACGTACAAGCCTTGCCCTTGAACCTACCAAGAACATCCAATACACAACAATTTCACCAAATAGAAAAACATCCAAAAACGTTCAAAGTCCCACCAAAGGCCTACCAAATAGAAATTGTTTTTTCCACCGTCTTCCAACCTGTTTCAGTCTCACTCCCCCAGGCTTCACGCTTCGGTCGAACACCCGGGCGAAGCCCGGCTTTCCTTCTCCGGTCGCCCCGTTGGTTTCACCAGGAGAGTTCATCGAGTCCATCAGAGCTCCAGAGCTGGACGGAGCTGTTGGAGGCCCAGTGGACGCGGCAGGATCGCGGGACCGGATCTTCGCAATTTTGCCAGGTCTATTTAAAGGAAAAGAGTCTAATAGAGGTAGAGAGTTTGAAACATTTGCATATCTTCGCCTTATCCTACCATTTTTGTGCCACAAAAGTGGGGGGTTCCACTGGAGGTTTCTCAAGCTATTTTGGAACTTCATTCAAAAAGCCCTTTGAGTTATGACTTTAAAGTGGCACTCAACAGTAGCAGCGAAGGGGAGCATTGCTTATGGGGTTTTCATGGGGTGCAAGTGGATGATGAGCAATTTCTTTTGTCTAACGAAAGAAAGTGCATTGAACAAACAGCAGTATTCTAGCTTAAGCGCAGATAGATACGACGCATGTCGGAGCGTACAGGGCGTTGGCATCTTTGTTTTCAGCACTGAAGCTTCCTTTGCAGGGTATCATTATGGATGGCAAGATCTGCAAGCAGTGGGATGAAGTGGAAATGATGATCGCCGGCAGCGGGAAGGACTGATTGACACATCTAGCATAATCTGGCATTCGGAAGGTACGATGATCAGTTATCTACAGCAAACTCTCCTTTTGTGATTCTTTCAGAACATCCTAAAAGGACAACTAGGTGACTCGATAGATGCTGAGCACCAACCTGAGCAGCAACCTGGATTCACGGATGGCTCCTTTTCGCATAGGAGAGATTGCAGCTTCGTGAGATCCAAGATGCCCTTGGGCAGATGCTGGGATAGCACCGTTGAGGTGGAACATCTTCACCTGTTTCGTTGGTTTCTTCACTAAACAGGAACAATCAGGAACAGGAGAAGGGTTAACCATTGTCTTGCAGTTTTCGTGTCACGGACGGGGTCAGTCTAGAAGACGAGACGTCAGGCTTTTCTCCGATGGGCAAACGTGTTCGTGGCAGTCATCAAGCAAACACTTGATGCGAGTATTCCATGAATTGCATGTGTGCAGAGTTTCAATGCGTGCCCTTCAGCTGACCGGCGTATCTCAAACGGTCTTTGGTGATCTCAGTTCCTTTGTTTGTTCCATCAGCCCCCCTGAGCTTGAGAGAGCTCCACATGAAGCTCTCCCCGTGCAGTTGGTGAAACGTGGCGCCAGTTGAGGAGTTGGTTGTCTATCCTTTTGGCCAGAAGCCAAAAGCTTTCTTGGATGGGTGGTCGAGCGATCCGAGCCCATCCAGCCCGTGTCCGGGCCGCCTTGCGCGAGTTGGGCTTGAAGATGGAGAAGGCTGGAATTCCCATGGCGAAGGCCAGGCGGAGAACCGGATTCTCATGAATTCTCATGTGGGCTATGAGACTAGGAGCTTGAGCTATGAGGTCACCTCATTGCAGCCAGAGGAGGAACCTCCTGTTCCGCAGGTGCAAGGCTGGGCTCGTGGCTCGATTTGCGTCTAGAGATGTCACGTGGCTCGTTTTGGAGTGACGTGCCTACAGGCCCAAAGCCACGTTCGCGCTCCCGATCGACCAAAGTCGAGGCCCCAGAAGTGAATCATCTTTCGTGACTTGGGAGAGTTCTGATGCTTTTTTGGGTCGTTCAGGATGGTGTCATCACTGTGTCCAACTGCAGTGATCCACGCTTGGGCCTCACCTTGGAGGGTCAGTACGCGAGAGATGGCACTAACCACAACAAGGCCGTGTACCGCCGCATCGAAGCGGATCCCAAAGGGTCCCATCTCCCGATCAAGCTCTACTATTGGGACGACCGTGATGGCAAGGAGAATCAGGGATGGTGGTTTGGTCCGACCGTCGGCGGTGAAGAGGTCGAGTCCTGAGACCTTTGTGAGTTCCAAACCAATTGTTTGATGTTGCGTGACGAGTCGACTGTGCTCGTGCGGAAGTTGTGGGCTCAGGTGTGGCTGCACAACCCAAGGGCCTTGCACTTTCCGCCAGCAGATGGATGGGACTTTTCCCTGAAGGTTGCATTGAACCACCGCGCCCCCGCAGCTCCAAAGGGCAAAGCAAAGGCGAAAGCAACGGCCCCACCAGCAGCCGCTAGCAGCGCAGCACCAAGCACAGTTGACCCACCTGCCAAAGCAGCTAAGAAGGCAAGACTCAGTGAGGAGAGCGAGGAGGATGGCTTTCCTGAGTTGACGAGGTGGCTGAGGTCTTTAGCGCCAAGCAATCCACACCAGCTGATGAAGTACTACTCGGCCCTTGTCACCCACTTCGAAGGTGACTTGCAGCAGATCGCTGCGGCCAAGATCGGTGACGCCGAGAGGCCGCGCTGAATGCAAAACTCCGGGTTTGATGTTGCTGGGCGTTGTGTTCACACCCCTTGAAATAATAATGGAAGTGGAAAACCACCGGTTTCTGGAGGAAAATTGTCATCCTTTCGGCCACGCCGTCCAATTTCCTGATTGTTTTGGGGAGCTTCTTTTGCCTTCTGGCTTGGAACCCTTGAGATTCATTTGCTTTGAGCTTGTGCTGCCAGGGATGGAGTGAAGCGAGTGGAACCGGCGTTCTGGGAGGCCATTGGTTGCACCAAAGCTGGTGACAAGCTCCGATTGGCAAAAGGAATTGCCCAACTTCCAGACTAGGTGCTTCCACTGCCGTGCGCAGATGAAGCATGTAGTTTCACTTGATAGATCTTGAAAGGCCGAGGCCGCGCAGCCGAGAAAAGATCGGAAAAAGAGCTGTGAGGCTTTTAAAGTTGGATTTGATAACTTAGGCGCTTGCGCCTTGACTCGCTTGACTGCTTGTCAGTTTTGGAGCTTGCTGCGGAAGAACAGCTAGACCAATACGCCATCTTCTATCTTTCGAGCGAAGGCGATTTGGAAGAAGGCAGCACCTGTATTGACAGACTATAACCTGACAAAGGCGGACATGCGGATTGACGTAATTTATGCTTTGCCGGTTGTTCTGGCATCAAGTCCGGTGTGTGGTCAAGGCGCTTACTGTGGAGGCCCGGTAGTGCCCACTGCAATCTGGCGCTTACTGTGCAGGGCCGGCATTGCCCACTGCGATCTGGTGCTTGCTGTGGTTGGGAGTGCCGCCTTGCAGTTGAGGTCTGGGAGTGCCGACTGCGATCTGGAGCTGGTAGTGCCCACTGGGGATCTGGCACTTGCTGTTCACGTCCGGTACTGCCACTGCAATCTGGTGCTTGCTGTCGAGGTGAGGTAGAGCCGGCTGTGATCTGGAGCTTGCAGTGCGATCTGGAGCTTGTTGTTGAGGTCCGGTATAGTGCCCACTGGGATCCACGGCGATGTGGTGATGTGGCGCTTGCTGTGTTGTGGCCCGGTGGCGGGATTGCTGTTGAGGTGCGGTAGTGCTTGCTGTTGCGGTGGGGCAGTGAGTGCTGGGTTCAGGGAGCTAAGAGTTGACAGGAATAGCGCGTTAACTAGGTGGAAGCACGAAAAACAAGGAGCAAAGATGCGAGGCTAAGCACCAATTCTTTTGATGTCTGCAGTATTTCGCACCTTTTCCTGTGTAGGTCTGTTGGCGTGCAAGTTTTTGAAAATTGAGGTTTTGGTTGCGAACTCGTTTCGCCCCCATCACTTCCCCCTTCACCTTAATTTGCTTTCGGTGGCTTCAGCTTTATGTTCGGAGTGTATTTCAGTCGGGCGTTTCTGGCCCCGGCCTTGCCATCCGCTGAAGGGATATATAAGTTGTATAATGTTATATATATAT